TTAAAAAAGAAAGACTGAGGCTGGGCGTGGTGACACACGCCTGTAATCCCAGTACTCAGGAGGCTGAGGCAGGAGCATCACCATGAGTTTGAGGCCAGCCTGGGCTACATAGTGAGTTCAGGGCTGACCCTGTCTCAAAAAAGAAAAAAGGAAATTAAATATTCACTGTAGTTTTTCATCACACCTTATAAGTCTATTCTGGACAAATTTGCCTTCAGTAAGTAATTTTGCAACATATATACTTACAGAAAACTTTCTTCTTTTTCTTCCTAGAGATGGGATTTGACCGATATAAAATGGTGGTACAAGTAGTGATTGGAGAACAAAGAGGCGAAGGAGTTTTGTGAGTAGCTGGTTGCTCCTTGTCATGATTCCCGTTTTCTGTGAGGTAGTTGTCGTCCTGACAGCTCAGTAAGATTGTGTCTCCGCAAGAGCGAGCGGGAAGAACAGCTGAGCAAAGTGCAGCTGTGAGCTGAGGAGGCCTGGTAACAAGAGGTGATGCCCCTGGGGTGGCCCAGTCTTCATAGGTCTGGTAGGCCAATAAGTCCTTAGGGCCGGTGTGCATATGTTTCTTTTCTTTTTAAAATAATTTTTTTTTTGTAGTGTTTTTTAGACAGGCCTTGCCATGTAGTTTAAGCTGGCCTTGAACTTGCCTCACTCCTCCTGCCTCAGCCTCCCGAGGGCTGGGATTATAGGTGTGCAGCACCACGCCCGTCTGGGGGAAGTTTCTGTATAGTGTGGGATGACATACTGCATGTCCTCTCACAGTCCTTGGGGCCCAGCTTTTAATTTTTATTACACTCCTACATTAATTTCTTTAAAATTGAGACCTCTCTATGAGCAAGTCTAATTGCCCTTTCCTAGCTCTTGTTCTTGGCCTTGGCTTCTCTTACTTAAAATGCCTCCAGGTGCTTTGGCTCTGACTGCAGCTGACTATTTTCTAGCTCTCCTCTCCTTTCCCGACTGTAGCTTTGCTCCCTCATTTCTCCGACTCCACCTTGCCATTTATTCGGTAAGGAAGTCGAGTTGCTGGCCCTGGAGTTTCCTGCGTTCTGGCATCTGCTGATGGTATCCCTGTGGTACTGTTGGCTGTAGCTTCTGTTGCCTGCGTTTCCTGTAAAGAAACACGTTGTTCTAGTACTTGCTTTTGGCAGTGCTGGGCAGTGTATACAAGGCAAGCTTTCCAGCAGAGCGCCGGCCCGGGCCCATGTTCTTGGGTGAGGACTCGGGTTGTGTTGGGCCATCTGGGTAATCGATCCTGGAGTCTCTGCATCTCAGTCTTTAGCTCACCCAAAGATCTGCAGCCTCCGTTCTGCCACGTAATATGCCACATTCATAGGTTTTGGGGACAAGGACGTGGACATGGATTTGGGAATGATTTTGCCTACCACACTTAGTTTTCTTTTTGGTACTGAGAATTAAACTTAGGACCTTGTGTTTGCCAGGTAGGCACTGTGCCGCTGAGCTCTATCCCCGGCCCTTACCTTTAGTTTGTTAGACCTTTTTGTTGTTGTTGTGTTTTGGGATTTTTTTTTTGGTCTTTTTTGCATCAGGGCCTCACTATGCAGTGCAGGCTGGCCTTGAGCTCACTTTGTAGCCCAGGCTGGCCTCGAACTCACAACCATCCTCCTGCCTCAGCCCCCCGAGTGCTGGGATTACAGGCGTGTGCTGCTATGCCCAGCAATTGGCTTTTATTTTTGACTAATTTTTTTTTTCTTACCCAAAATGTGGGGAGAGTAGAATTAACAAATTTGAGAATGGCGAAAGAGCACAGAAGCTGGGCATGGTGGCACACACCTATAATTCCAACACTTGGGAGGCTGGGACAGGAGGATCGCTGTGATTTCAAGGCCAGCCTGGGCTACATAGCAAGACCCTGTTTTGAGAAAAAACAAAAAAAACCAGAGTATCCATAGTGTCCTGTCCAGATAGGCTAAAGCTGCATCTAGTTAGAAGACTGAATTCTGGTTCAGTTTGCACCTTTTCTGGGGCTTTTTTTTTTTTTTTTTTGTCTTTTTGAGATGGGGTCTCGCTGTGCAGTTCAGGCTGGACTTGAGCTCACGTTGTAGCCCAGGCTGGTCTCGAACTCGCAATGATCCTCCTGCCTCAGCGTTCTGAGTGCTGGGATTACAGGCGTGAGCCACCATGCCCAGCTCTTTTCTGGGGCTCTCTAAAATGACCAGGTTAGGCTGTATAATGTGTTGGGCCCTATGAGCATTTTCCTTCTACTATGATGTAGGAATTGAGCCCATTAAAAGTCACACAGAACTACAAAGTGTGAGAGTGATATACACTGAATGTGTACATTTTTGAAGTTTACTACAGTAAAAGATCCATTGCTGTTAATTCCCGGGAAACTGTTCCCTCTCACTTCAAGCATATTTATCCCGTCGTTCTTGCCACTGTCTAAGCAGTTCGGGCAGTCTTTCCTAAGTGTCTTTGGGAGACGTGATCAAAACTGCAGTGCATGCTGCCCACTGAGTGCCATCCAATTGACAGGTGGGTTCGTAAAGACATCAGTGTGTCCTCATCCACCTTATTCACCACACCTGGCACTGTGTGGCTTTTGGCTCTTTCCCAAAGTCAAAATGACCATGAGAGGTGAACAGTTCCAACAGATTCAGGACATCAAGGCAGCCATGACACTGCAACTAACCTGACACTGAGGACAGTAGTCCCAGCATTCAGGAGGCTGAGGCAGGAGGATCACCACAAGTTCAAGGCCAACCTGGGCTACGTAGTGAGTTTAAGGCCAGTCAGAACTGCATAGCAAGACCCTGTCTCCAAAAAAAAAAAGTACACTCAGGACAGAGGACTTCAGAAAGTGGAAAGAATGGTGGGATGAGTGTATTCCAAGTAAGAGAGAGTTTTTGTTTGTTTTTTTTGTTTGTTTGTTTTCCGGTACTGGGAATCGAACTTATGACCTCGTGCTTGCCAGGCAAGTGCTATGCCGCTGAGCTAAATCCCCAGCCCCGAGAGAGTTTTCTGAGGGATGTTCATGGTAACGTGCCTTTTCCTGTAATAAATTCTTTAAACATTTAAAAGATATTCACCGTACTTTTAGATCATGCCTGGTGTCTTGGCTGAAGTTATCTATAGTACAGATCTGCTTAGGGGAGCAGACTCCAAGATGTGGGCTCCTGGTCCTGCTCAGGGCCGAGACTGTCCCTGGCCCTGGCTGGTCGCCTCTGGCTGTGACTCCTGTCCTTCCCACCCAGCATGTCCTGCTGTACAGATAGGGCTTTCTGTGTGTGCCGGCCTGGCCTGTGCAGAGACTGGGAAGCACCCACCTATGGAGTGCACAAAGGCAACTCTTTCTTTGGCAGATACGTGCAGTTCAGATCCTGGTGGCATCAGTGACGTTGTCCTTTCTGTGCCTCTCTAGCATGGCCGCGAGGTGCTTCTGGGACGCAGACACTGACAACTACACTCATGATGTTTTCATGAACGTAAGTCTACGTGGAAATCTTTCCTGTCCAGGGACAGTGGGCATCACTGATCAAGTTACTGTTTATTAAGATGTGAGGATACTCTAGTTCCAGACATCTGTCTTAGACTTCTTCTAGATGCTATGGTTTTACTGTTACAGTGTTACTATAGTTCTTATAGCAAGGAGACTATGTGTACAGATGACATAACTCTGCACAGGCTGAATTTTGGTAGAGCCTATTATTTACCTGGCATATTATTATTAAAATGATTTTAAAATTACAGAGGGGTGTAATCTCAGCACTTGGGAGGCCGAGGCAGTAGGATCTCTGGGAGTTCAAAGCCAGCCTGGGCTACATAGTGAGACCTATTCTCAAAAAAAGAAAAAAAAGGGGGCTGGGGATTTAGCTCAGTGGCACAGTGCCTGCCTGGTAAGTGCAAGGTCATGAGTTTGATTCCCAGTACCAGAAAAAGAAAAAAAGAACTTATTTAACTGTTGGTGAGTTATTGGCCCAAATTTTTTTTGGTACCAGGAATCGAACTTAGGACTCTGCACTTGCCAGGCAGGTGCTGTGCCACTGAGCTACAGCCCCACAAATGTTTTCTATATTTTAATTATATGCTGTTGTCTTATACTTGACTCCAGAAACAAGCTCGTCCTCTAATCAGATACTCCTTCCTACTGATGAACTAGGAGAGTCAGAGAGCACTGGAAGAGGAGCTCAGTTGAGTAGATTAGGACAGGGGCTTCATTTCCAGTTCTGTTGCTTTCTAATTGCATAATTTAGGTGAGTTATTGGGTTTTGCTGAGATTGTATCAAGAGACAGATTTTCCCAAAGACTAGCTATGGTTGCCTAAGAATAATGTAGGGAGCTTATCTAAAATACAGATGCCAGGTGCCTCATCAAACAAGCCAGAGGCTAGATCAGTAAATGTGAATTTTTAAAAAGTGGTGGTGCACTCCTGTAATCCCAGCACTCAGGAGGCTGAGGCAGGAGGATCTCCATGAGTTTGAAGCCAGCCTGGGCTATATAAGCTAGTTCAAGGCCACACTACACAGTGAGACCCTGCCAAAAAAAGAAAAAGAAAGGCTGAGGCAGGTGGATCGACAGAGTTTAAGGCCAGCATGGGCTACATAGTGAGTTCAGCCTGCACTCCATAGGGAGACCCTGTCTTAAAACAAAAACAAAAACAAAAACAAGAACAAAACACCAGAAAAAGGTTCCCCATGTGACTTTGCTGATTGCCAAGTTTTTACACAAGTGTCAGTCCATGAAGGACCAACAGTTAAACAAAAGCAGGTCCCTCCGCACAGGTGGTATTATAGGAGAACACAGGAACTGGGCTGACCCAGGATCTTTTTTTTTTTTTTGTCTTTTTGAGACAGGGTCTCACTATACAGTTCAGGCTGGCCTTGAGCTCACTGTGTAGCCCAGGCTGGCCTTGAACTTGCAACAATCCTCCTGCCTCAGCCTCCCAAGTACTGGGATTACAGGCATGCGCCATCATGCCCAGGTATATAGTTTGAGGTGGGAAAGGCATTTACTGTGAAGAACCTTGAAGTACTTCATAGATTATTTCTGAGAAATCAGGAAAAATGAAAGTAATTATTTTATGAATATGCATAAACTCAAATTTATTAGCTCACATTTACTCATTCAGAAAAAAAATTTTTGTTTTTGAGTTTGCTCCATGTAGCCCAGGCTGGTCTCAAACTCAGCGATCCTCTTGCCTCAGCCTCTTGAGTGCCCTATCACATCTAGCAGAAAATCTAATTTTTTATCCATTTTTTTTTTTTTTTAGTACTGGGGATTGATTGAGCCCAGCATCTTTGCACTGAGCTACCTCCCCAGCCCTTATTTTGAAACAGGGTCTCATAAGCTATAGAGTTGCCCAGGCAGGGCTGCAACTTGCCATTCTTTTGCTATAGCCTCCCCAGAGTCCTGGGATTACTGTATAGGTGATCAGGTCTGGCTCCCAGCCTCCTTTTAGCAAGCAATTTTGTAGCTACCCACAGGAAAGCAAGTTTATAGCTGTACTTTGGAAACCTGCAAACCCTTTATTTCTTTCTCTTTTTTTGTCTTTTTTGAGACAGGGTCTCCCTATGCAGTTCAGACTGGCCTTGAACTCACTTTGTAGCCTAGACTGCTCTTGAACTCGCAATGATCCTCCTGCCTCAGTCTCCCAAGTGCTGGGATTACAGGCTTGTGCCACCATGTCCGGCAACCCTTTATTTCTTGAAGTAGTCTTTTTTCTATGGGGGGGGGGTTCTTTTTGTCTTGCCATGTAGTACAGGCTGACCTTGAACTCACTTCTATAGCCCAGGCTGGACTTGAACTCAGTGACCCTCTTGCCTCAGCCTCCTGAGTGCTGGGATTACAGGTGAGAGCCACCACATCAGGCTTGGGTATCGGAAATCGAACTCAGGGTCTTGCACTTGCCAAGCACACGCTTGTGCCACTGAGCTATAACCCAGGCCCCAAGCTTTGGAAGAGGCCCTCCTGATTGGAAATTGAGCAGGGTCTAGGACAGGGTTAATTTCAATCACCTGTGCTGTCTTTATTCTCTCATTAGTACTAACATTCTGGATTTTCTCGTCTTTCCTGTCTTGTTTTTTAGGACAGTTTATTCTGTGTGGTAGCAGCATTTGGCTGTTTCTACTATTGAATCTTTGACAAACCCGGGAAAAGATATGACCATGAAGAAATCTGAACTTTTCAATACTGTTTAATATCTTGATGAAATAAAAATGTGCTGGCAGTTTAGCCACTGAACTTGTTGTGTTTTAGGCTTTATATTTTTAGTGTTTTGATTCTGTTACAATGTTATTATTACAATATGTTATGATAGGGGGCATGATGGCACATTTCTGCAATCCCAGTTTTTTTTTTTTTTTTTTTTTTTTTTTTTTTTTTCCGGTACTGGGAATCGAACTCACGACCTTGCATTTGCCAGGCAGGCACTGTGCCGCTGAGCTAAATCCCCAGCCCCTGCAATCCCAGTATTTGAGAGGCTGAGGCAGGAGGACTGCCACAAATTCGAGGCCAGCTTGGGCTACATATTGAGTTCAAGGCCAGCCTGAACTGTACATAGTGAGGCCCTGTCTCAAAACACAAACAACAACAAAAAAATATATTTGGAAAGTACAGGAAATGTAGTTGGGGACAGTCCTTTCAATTTTTAAGCATAACCAACAAAATATTTTGGTATATTTCCTCCAGGATCTTTTTTTTGCCAAATCATATATACAATGTTATACCCTGATTTTTTTCACTTGTTATAATGTCACAAGTTATGTCATTTTATGTACGTTGTAACTTTCAAGCGCATCCTTCAATAGCTGCATTTGTCGCATCAGGTTCCACCACTGTTGCTACTGCCATTTCCTTATGAAGGGACTCATTTCTAATCTTTCACTATTCCCCAAATACAGATGAGTCTATCCGTGAGTAACATTCTCTCTCCTCAGCCCTCGTCCTCTATGACTTACACACTCACAAGCTTAAACACACAATTTGTCTAAGTGCAACGTCTCAGAAATTTCAAGCTATGTATGAAATCAGATTCCCTCCGACTCCCGGAAACCCCTTTGTTGGTCATTCTCTGAACCCTTCTCTCTGCAGTGCTGTCCCTGGAGGGCCTGGTGCCTTCTCCTGATGGCTGTCCTTATGTGGGACACTTTAGCAGCATGTTCAGTTCTGGAACTTAAAAAGGAAAGGGTTAGATTTAAATCCTTTTTCTTCCTGGGGGCCCCTCAGCAGGCGCACACATTTAGCTACTGTCTTTTTCTCAGCCACATTCTAGTCAACTGTGTAGACCTAAATCAGTAAGTAAAAATTTAAAAAGATAGCAAATACGTTGAAAAGTTCTCCATATTGCATAACATTTTTTTGTTCACCTTTTCAGTTTTTTTTTTTTTTTTTTAGTGCTGGGAATCAAACCCAGGACCTTGAGCTTGCCAGGCAGGCGCTGTACTACTGAGCTATATCCCAGCCACTTTTTTGTCTTTTTGAGACAGGGTATTGCTATGCAGTTCAGGCTGGCCTCAAACTCACAGCGATCCTCCTGCCTCAGCCTCCGGCGTGCTGGGGTTACAGGCGTGCGCCACCACATCCAGCTTGCTTCATAACATTCTGTACCCACTTGCCTTACAAGTACAGAGGCACATTTTTCTGCGCGTCATTTTTTGGTGAGCTGACTTGGGGCGAAGATAGCAGGATGAAGCCAGGCATCGAGGTGCACCCTGTAAACCTAGCTATGAGCGAGCGAGCAGAAGGATCCCAAGCTTTAGGTCAGCCTGGGCAATTCGGCGAGATTCTCCTCAAGATAAAAATAATAATTTTAAAAGGGCTGATGATATAACTTAGTGGTACAGCATTTGCCTGGCATGATGGAGGCCCTCGGTTCAATCCCCAGTAATACACAGAGGCCTGTAACCTCCGCATTCAGGGAGGCTGAGGCAGGAGTATCACACGTTCCACGCCAGCCCGAGCAATTTGGCGATTTAGCGAGAGACTGTCTCAAACAAAAGAACTGATCAATGAAAAAGGGCCCTGGATTCAATTCTCAGTACCAAAGAGAAGTGGAGAAGAAAAAGGTCAGACATAGTTTCACCGGAGTTGGAGAACTCCCTTCCATAACCAAGGAGGCAGAAGTCTCCTTGGCCACCGCGGCGAGAACGCTGTCAGTTCAGGCGTCTTCCCCGCCGGCTCCGGCTCCAGCCCGGGCTCCGGCTCCGGCTCCGGCTCGGGCTCCGCCTCTGGGTGGAGACAGATCCTTCACCGCCCACCGCAGGTCTCAGTCTTCCGCTCGGTCCCTCCACACACTCCTCCGGCTTCTGGAGAAGCGGAACTACTGCGTGGAGGACAGTGGTTTCCGGGGAGAAGTCGCGGCCGGATTGACAGGAGGGCAGGCGGTGGGCGGGACTTCCTGCCGCTATTCCGTCAGCTGCCTCGTCCGGGCGTCTCCCCGCAACCTCCTCAGCTTCCCCAGTCCCTGACGCGGCGCTGGGAGGAGATCGTAGGGCGCAGGCCCCGCGGAGCGCGAAGTGCTGGTGAGGACCCAATGTGTGCATGTGCCTGCGGCCAGTTGGAGGGGAGGAACCGCGGGGCAGGGGCCGCGAGGTGGCAGCAAGAGTAAGTGTGCAGCACGGGCTGAGAGGCTACTGTGACCTAGGGACAGTGACAGCAGGGGACTGTGACCCAGGGGGAGCTGCTCGCGAGGCTCCGCCACCCTGGGGCTGGGAGTGCGGAGGACGCGGACGCAGGGGAGCTCGAGGCCGAGGCTGCGACGGGACCATGCCCGAGGCGGTGGCTTCCAGGGGACCGTGACCACGGGGCGGTGACTCGAGGACACTGATCAATGGATGGGACTGTAAGGGGGCTGTGACCGAGACCATGGGGCAGCGCCTGCGAGCGAGCGCGGACCGAGAGGGCTGGCGTGGCGGAGAGCCTGGGATCGGTACCCGGGGGGCGCGGCGCGGGGCCGAGCGGCCGTGAGCGGGCGGCAGCGGCGCTCCGTGGACTTAGCAGGCAGACCCGAGTTTCACTGCGGGGATGGCTTCCGGGGGCCGGGACTCTTAACCTTCACCCTGAGTTACAGACTCAACACGGTGCGAAGTTTGGATTAACGTCTCCCAGACTATGAGTTCTAGCCTATTGCTGGGTTGTGAAATCAATTTTATGGACGGCGCCTGAGGGTTTTTCTTAAATACAGAAATGGAATAGGATAGAAATTTTTAGTGTGTTCACATAAGTGTATTTCATGAAATGTGTTTCAGTTGGGTTTTGTACATCTTAAAATGTATGAAGTTAAACGTAGTTTTTTAAAAAGAAGCCTGAGAAACATTTCATCGGATTCTGGTTTTTGTTTTGTTCTGTTTTGTTGAGACAGGGTCTCTCTATGCAGTTCAGGCTGGCCTTGAGCTCACTTTGTAGTGCAGGCTGGTTTAGAACTCGCAAAGATCCTCCTGCCTCAGCCTCCCAAGTGCTGGGATTACAGGAATGAGCCACCACGCCCGGCTTTCTGAGGGTTTTTGTTTTGTTTGTTTTTTTAGTTTTTTGAGACAGGGTCTTGCTTTGCAGTTCAGGCTGATCTTGAACTCACTTTATAGCCCAGATTGGCTTGGAACTCTCAGGGATCCTCCTACCTCAGCCTCTCCAGTGCTGGGATTACAGGAATGAGCCACCACACCCAGGCTTCTGAAATAACCCCCTCCCCCACGTAAAATGTAATAATTCTAGGGCCGGGGATATAGCTCAAGGGCACAGTGCCTGACTGGAAAGCCCGAGGTAATGAGTTCTATTCCTGGCACCAAAAAAAAAAAAAAAAAAATAATAATAATAATAATAATGATTCTATGGTTTGGCAGTACAGCGAAGCAGCTGGAAAAGTGGAATCTATGTTTGGGGCATAGATTTTAGTTAGGAGAGGCAGGAGTTATATTGAGCCTGTTGTGGAATTCGAGGCCAGCCTGGACTACATCGTGAGTGCAAGACCAACCTGAACTGCACAGTGAGACCCTGTCTCAAAAAAAAAAGTGATATTGAAATAGAGACAGTGACATGTATAGATGCAGTACAGATTTAGGAGCTGCATTAGGAGAGACTTCTAGGAATAGGCGTTGAGAAGGGGGGAACTTTGGTGTTAGGAACAAGGCTTGGGAAAGGAATTGTAGATAGAAACAGAAAATATTCTGCCAAGAATAAAGGGGAGGTAGGGAGATATGACCTTCAGATTCTGTTCAGTCTTAACATTTACTGATTGTGCAAGTACATGGAATTGCTAGTAAAAAGATACAGAGACTGGGATTTGGTGCAGTGACCATGGCAGACAGATAATGACCATCACAGGGAAGAGAGGGGACAAAGGGGAGATGCTGGGAGTGTGAATAGTGGTGACTGGGGAGGCCCACGGAAGAGGCTTTCAGGTATTTGGCCACCCAGCTCCTTGACTTGTGTACTGGAGGCTAAGCCTGACATTATGGGGATGGCTCCACGCTGTAGGTAACTCAGGCAGTTTAGCTGCTGATTGTATTTCCTACTTCTTCCCTGTCATGAGGGCTGTTCCTGATGCAGTTGAAATTAACTAAATTGAGTGTTACAGCCCAGCTGGCTTGAGGCCTGTAATCCCAGCCATCTGGGAGGCTGAAGTAGGAGGATCAAAAATTCAAGCCCAGCCTGGGTAATTTAACAACTTGGCCAAGACTCTGTCTCAAAATAAAAATTTTAAAAAGGCTGGGGATGTAGTTCAATGCAAAAGCTCTGGTTTCAATTCCTAGTACTGTAAAATATTAAAAAAATTTAGAAAAGTTACTATTTCCTCCTCTCTTCTTTTTTTTTTTGAGACAGTGTCTTACTATGTAGTTCAGGCTGGCCTTCAATTTTCGGTGATCCTCCTGCCTCAGCCTCTCATGCTGGGATTATAGGTGTGTGCTACAACTCCCAGCATTACTTCCTCCTCTCTTATAGTCTTTAGGGTTTTTTTTTTTTTTTTTTTTTTTTGTACTGGGAATTGAACTCAGACCTTGCACTTGCCAGGCAGGCACTTGTGCCTCTGAGCTATATCCCCAGCCTTCTTTTTTCTTTTTCTTTTTCTTTTGTCTTTTTAAAGACAGGGTCTCGCTATGCAGTTCAGGCTGGCCTTGAGCTCACTTTGTAGCCCTGGCTGGTCTCAAACTTGGAAGGATCCTCCTGCCTCAGTGTCCTGAGTGCTGGGATTACAGGGGTGCACCACCACGCCCAGCTTCCCTGCCCTCTTACAGTTTTTGTAAAAG